AGCTAGCCCTGGAAGGGAACAAAAAGGCTGAAGTTGAGCTGGGCCCTGGTGGCTCCAACCTGGAATTCCAGCATTGGATGGCTGAGGCAGGAGAATATCTGGAAGTCTGAGGCTAATCTGGGTTACACAGTGTGAGGTTCTGTTCGAAACAACTGAACTAGCTTCTTTGCTGGGTTGTGTATGACAGGGTTGGGTCTGGGGTCAACAGAAAGGGGTTAGCATCCCTGTGCTCTAATGGCTCTAGCTCCCCTAACCATCTGCAGATGCTGCAAAGGGTCACAGAACAATCCAAGGGTAATGCTGCTTTCTCCAGTGACAAAGAAAGTATCACTGGAAATTCCTCATCCTCATCAGATTTTAAAACAAGTGTTTTCTGCCCCCTGGTGACTGTATCTCTTCTGCCTGCCCTTCCCATGGCTCCAGGTCCACTGTGGGATGGATGGGAAGGGCAACAGGGAGGGATGCCATGCCATAGGACAGAAGTTAAAACAGGCTCACTGGCTGTGGAGGACACTAAAGGACAGCAGCCCGATGGGGGATGGAAGGAGGGGTTCTGACAGGGAGTGGACTTTGATGTGGGATCAACTCCCCTTTCACAAGACAGCACAAATGAGGGGAAGCCTCTGTGAGGCCGGCAGAGGGAAAGCAAGTGGATGGAGACTGCCCTCTTGTGGCAGCCAGGGGTGTGTGCAGCCACCAAAGCCTCAGCTTCCGCTTGGAATTCCATTCCTGGAATTCTGGGCCTGGAGAGAAACAGCGCCTCTTAACCATGTTTCTGAGACCCCAGGATGAGGACCACTCCAGAAGGAGGAGTGATCAACACAGACTGTGAAACCAGAGAGTGTGCGGGAGAAACCACAGGAAGGCCCGCTCCGGGACCATCACCCGGCACTCGGTGTGATCAAAGCCAGCAAGAATTTTCAAGTCGCTAACTCTGATGCAGCAAACACACATCTCTCCTTCAAATCAACAATGACACAGCCCGAGAATAAATATCCCTAATGAGAGATGAAGTGTGCTGTCAGAAGTGCAGTTGCTAGGGTTCGCTGAGGAGCCCCACACCTCCCTGTTCTGAGAGCCCATCAGTCTCACTACAGCGGTCCCCACCCCCTGCCCTTCCAGACTCAAGGTCTTCACTTTCTTGGAATAAAGCAAAAATCAGGCAATTACTTCAGGAATGTCTCTGTCTGCTTCTCGTCTTTGGAAGCCAGGTGTTGCTCCCTTAATCATCAGAGCTGTGGTCTGAGGAGATGGCTCAGTCGATACAATGCTTGCCACCCAAGCACGAGAACCTGAGTGTGAGCCCCAGAACCCACATACAGAAGAAGTCAGACGTGGTGTGACACTCTTGTAACCTCAGCCCTCGGGAGACAGAAGGAGATGGATCTGTGGCTCACACTGGCCAGCAAGCCCAGCCTACTTGGTGAGGCTCAGGTCTCAGTGAGAAGCCCTCCCTATCTCAAAAAAAAAAAAAAAAAAAAAGCATGGTGGCGGCCCCTGAGGGATGATACGGGCACAGTGTTAACTTCAGGGTTTGGGTCTTTCAAAGGAAAACACCAAAATTTGTAGACAAAATAGAAATTTTCATTGAACAAAGAATAGAAACTCTCATTCTGGCTTAATGGTGGATGAGTGTATCAGCCTAGTAACAGGAATCAGAGGCAGGAGGAATGCAAGTTCAAGACCATCCTGGGCTACATGTCTCAAAACTCAAACAAAGGCTCAGTCAATGAAGTGAGTGCCCTGCAAGTTTGAGGACCTGGGTTTTTGATCCCCAGAACCCACACTGTGAAGTATGATGATGTGACATTTAACCCCAGCCCTGAGGAGACAGAGACAGGTGCGTGTTCCTGAGGCTCACGGGCCAGCCTGGCCTGCTAGGAGAATTCCAGGCCAATGAGACACCCTGTCTTAAATGATATTTAAAGTTCCCTTCTGGGCTGGAGAGATGGCTCAGAGGTTGAGAGCACTGACTGCTCTTCCAGAGGTCCTGAGTTCAATTCCCAGCAACCACATGGTAGCTCACAACCATCTATAACGAGGTCTAGTGCCCCCATGTATGCATGTGTACAACACACACACACACACACACACACACACACAGAGTTTAGGGTGGAGAGTGGGATTTTAGTTACAAAGCCTTCAAGGAATAGCAGATGTCTGATGTGCAGTGAGAATCATTTCAACTCTGAACATTTGTTAACCACCCAGGCAACTTCTTCTATTTCCCGGGCTGATGACCTACGTCCGGATCAGGTTTCAGGCAGATCAGCTCACTTTGGGCTCTGAGTTAGTAAATCAGTCCTACGTTCTGGTCAGTTAAACATGAAGTGGATTTATTGTCAGGCAGCATTTCCCAGCAGCCCCTAGAAACGCTGCGATTTGGGTTCCTGGGGAGAGCAGAGCACAATCAGATATCATTCCCATAGGCACCTGCTTGAAGAACAGCTAGCATGTGACTCAGGGTGCTCTGTGAGCCTCTGCGGTGGGGGGAGGCTGCTGGTCTCACAGTGTTTGGGGGGCCAGGAAGGGAAATGAACTTCCTCTCTCGGCTTCCTCAGGAATTCCCAAAGAGACATGGAAGTTACATGGATCACAAGTCCCCATTCAGAGCATAGCATCTGGGACATAAAACAGTTCTGTGACGACCTGGCCTCACAATGGCTGAGAGTCACCTTCCGGCCAGTAATGGGATCCAGCAGTTTTACAAGCTAGTTGGAGGAGCTCCCAGCCACTGAGGTCACCTTAGAAGGGAAGACCTGTTCTTCCAGAACCTTCTATGGTGAACAGCTTATAGAGCCTTAATAGGCTTCCTTCCCATCATCTCAAAGTCAACATTGGTATTTGCTGTGGGCGGAGGAATCAGAACTTAACGGCCTTAAGAGCGAAGGACAGAATATTAAGTACACACACCAAAGCTGCCCTGGGTGCCAAGGCGTTGGATCACAAGCTGCTGGGGAACACCATGCTCTTAGATACCCACTTCATAAACAGGTAAAGTCCACCTGCTGAGAACGGGCTTCTTCCTGGACAGATGCCAGGAAATGCCAAGGTTGACTATAAGGATAAGCAATCGTGAACTTTGTCCTCTTTTCTAAGCAGAAGAAACCTGACACTGTGGCGAGCCCTCCACAGCAGGCAGGCACTGTCCTGAATGCTGTCTAAGAGTGTGCATCTGTGTGTACACGTGTGTCCATGTTCATGTATGCATGTGAGTACATGTGTGTGAATGTGTGTATGTGCATGTGTGTATGCATGTGTATGTACACATGTGTGCATGTGTGTGCATTCAAGTGTGTATGCATGTGTGCACGTTCGAGTGTGTATGCATGTGTGCATGTGTGTATGTATACACATGTATGTGCATGTGTGTGCATTTGTGTGTGCATATATGTGTTTGTGCATGTGTGCATCCATGTGTGGGAAGAAAGTACAATTATTCAGAAGAAACACACAAAAGCAAAGCTCATGACTTTACTCTGGGATAAAATAAGAGGCTTTTGTTTGTTCTGAATTTAGCATAAGAACATGTCGCCCTGCCTCTGGGAAGAGGATGTGCAGGTCCCAGCCCTGTGACTTCCTGCCGTCGAAGGCATCATCTGAGAAAGCTGCTGTCCTAGATAACGCTCAGAAACTGCAGTCATGGCATGTGCTAACGAGAGAGTTGAGTGGTGGATGGACGTCCTTCCTTTAGAGTGCTCAGTCATTCTGCTTGTCTCTGGCTGGGGAAGCTCGCTTTGATTGATGCCTACGCTGGTACCTGAGACTGGAGGAGGAAAACACAGACTTTGTCCCTCCAGGACTGACTGGGTAGAGTGGGAAGGATGAGGTGGTAGGAAGGAGAAGACCTCCAGGTACTGGCATTTTTGATCAGGTGAGAATTTGTGATGGGGGGGGGAGGGTCACAGTATCAATCAGAGAACATTCCAGAGGCGGCTACATGACAAGAAAAATGACGTTCTTCTGTTTAGGCTCCCTGAAAATCCCTAACACAACTGTGAAAAAACCCAGGACTCAGAAGCAGGAGACCACAGGAATTAGATTTTGTTTGTTTTGTTTGAGCCCAGGTCTCATGTAGCTCAGGCTGGCCGCATATAACTCAGGCTGTCCTCAGCACTGCTTTGCAGCTGAGGGTAGCCTTGGACTTCAGAGCCTCTTGCCTCTACTACTTCCCAAGGGTCAGGATTATAGGATTTCAGGATCACACCATGCTCTGTTTATGTAGCACTGCAGATGAATGGAAGGCTTCAACTCAGTCTCTCCGGTGGGGTCACGGCCCCAGCTTCTTAAAACACCATTTATAGCCTCCATGTGGGAAGCCCACAACGTGCCAATTACACCACAATAGTCCCTGTAATTCTTCAAACACATGTGCCGTTCTAATACACTCCGCACAACAAATTTACATCCACGTTTTCCACAAACAATGGAGGCTCACCCATTCAGATACTGGCCATACAGAGAGAGTCTCTGAGTCGGGGGGAACCTCAGACCTACTTCACAGCTGGTGAGCTGGACAGCTGGCCTTGTGCACTTCAGGGCCCCCTGTCCAGCTGTGCAGGCTGGTTCAGTACCGATGGAACTCACACAGCTAGGAACTACTTGCTGTTAAACACATTTTCAACGAAACAGAAAAGACACCTAGGTCATCTACCTGAACAAGAAGCACCCACATTTGCAGTGGGCCCTGGGGCAGACGCTGCACTGTCCTCTGGAGACCTGAGCTCTCAAGCTGCTGGGCTCAGATTCCCTCACACAGGTCCCCTCCCTGTCTCCATCTACATATCCTCTTCATCTTCCACTAGGGCCATGGCCACAAAAAAAAAAAATGGCTTTGCTAGGTTTTCTATAATGTCATATTTTCATTTCACACAAAACTCTGCCCTGACGGCTACAGATAAACACCTTTGCTCTCCCCCAAGCTAAGCACTCTCTTCAGGGGGAGCCTGTGGATCCCAGTGCTGTCCAGGATCAGAGACCTGGAGGCAAAGCCCACTCACCTGGCATGAGACACACAGTCAGGGTTCGACGATGGATGCTGGGAGGAGACTTCTTTCTGATTTCCAGACTTTAAGTAGCAGGATCTGACTTCCCCTGCAAAATCACAAGATTTGAGTAGAAAGTATCACCCCATCTGCGAAGCACATGCTCATTGCCACTGTCTTCAAGTTAAAGGCAGCCCTGTGAGGCTGTTTGTTGAGTGACTGGGTTTGTTTTGTTCTGTCTGACACTTGAAGCAGAACTTCATTATCAAAGGAGAATGACATTTAAAGAGAGTCACTAAGAAAGATGATCTGCCTGTTTACCTGGTGATCCCCACGGTGGTCACTAGTCACTGTGGTTGACCTACTTACCTACTTATTACTATTATTCTGTTAGATCCTCAATTCACATTTGTTTCCTGCTTTTTTTCTTTAGTTTTTTTTTCTTTCTATTTAAGTTTCTTTCCCTGTGGTGTCTAAGCTGGCCTCCAACTATTAATCCTCCTGCCTCAGCCTTCTGCTGGAATTTCAGGCATGGGCTACTACAACTAGTATTTTCTCAGGTAGCCCAGGCTGGCCTTTAATTCCTAATCCTTCTGTCATGGCTCTTAAACAATGGGATTACAGATTTAGTTAAGAGGTTCTGGGACTCTAGCCTAGTAAAAAGAGGCTCATTAGACATGTAGTTCAGATTGAGGCCAGAGTCCAGGTTGCCTCAGAGAAAGGAGAGCAAGCGTGGTCTTGACTGGGAGTCAGGCTAGTAAGAAGGAGAAAGAAGGGTGGAATTTATTAGGAAGGTTAAATTAGTTCTGCTGGACGGTCTGGGGTACTGAGGTATGAAAACCAGCTCCTGTCTAATGGAATTTCCTAGTCCCAAGGGACACCATCCCCTGGGGCCCAGGAAATGCAATTAAGTCCCTGACTGAGATACCCACCAAGTATCCCTTAGCAAACCAAAGCCAAGGCCTGGCCTCGACCTCCAGGATTCATTTTGCATTCTGGAGTGTGTGTGTGTGTGTGTGCGTGTGTGTATGTGTGTGCATATGTGTGTGTGTGTTACACGTGGTTGGTACATGCTCTAACACTGAACTATATCCCCAGCCTCTGACCTTCTGCTAACAGAAAGGCTGTTCTTAGCTCTGCAGACACACAAGACAATGAGCTAGAAAAAGTCACAGGAGTCAGAATCCTCCTGCGTACGCAGTAACTGACAATGGACCAGAGCCATGCAGACAGACAGACAGCACAGGCTTTCCCAAAGGCGGGTCCTAGCTTCTCATTTCCAATTTGTATGTATTTCTGTTTATGTTGGCGTGAGCGTATATAAAGACCCCAAAAAACTGGAAAGGAGAAGAAGAAAAAGAGACATCAAGGGAGTCAGGGAGGATAATAGAGGATTTCAAAATGGAAGGAGAATACTGTCGGATGGGAGGGCCCACACAGGATGGGGCCAGGGAGATGGAGGAAGAGCTGACCAGAACTACACTACTGTCAAAACCCATAAGGAAACCTGAATGCTTTGAATACTGACTGAAAAATAACTTAAAAAGATTCAAAAGGAGGTTAGTCAAGACCCATCCCAGAACAACCGGGGTCCAATGACTCTATCATTTGGTTGGAGATTCCTCAGGCAACTACTATAAATCATTTTTTATATGAAGGTACCAGACAAAGCTATGAGGATCATAGTTGTCTAACAAATATCTAATAAATATTTCCTGGGCACTGGCCCCGTGCCCTGCTGAAGTCTTCCCTTGGGAGGGAAAATATCATTAGTAGATTATTACAAGACAAGAAATAACAACTGTAACAGTGGAGATGGAAGTAAAGGAATGGGTGTTTAGAAAGAAAAACAAATATGTCCAGAGAAGTGGCTTACTGGGTAGAGAGTTTGCCTAGTACACACAGAACCTGGATTTCCTTCCTCAGGGCTTCATCTCTGCACTCAGGAAGGTTGAGTATCAGAAGTTCAGAGTTATTCTGAGCTATATAACCAGTTGGGAGCTTGCCTAAGCTACATAAAACCTTATGTCCGGAAAATAAATGAAGAATAAAGTTTTAAAAGAACAAAAGTTGCCAGGCGTTGGTGGCACACGCCTTTAATCCCAGCACTTGGGAGGCAGAGGCAGGTGGATTTCTGAGTCTGAGGCCAGCCTCGTCTACAGAGTGAGTTCCAGGACAGCCAGGGCTATACAGAGAAACCCTGTCTCGAAAAAACAAAAAAAAAACAAAAAACAAAAAAAGTTATATGCAGCTGGTTAAATCTAGTTAAATCTAAAGTCTGCCCAAACAATTCTCCTTGGAGATAAGACATAAAGGGTGAGTGACACGCTGTTGGCACAGTGAGCATAGCACATGCCAGGCAGTAAGGAGAGACACCTCTCAAGCATGACAAGGCAATCCCAGGACTGTCTGCCTGGTACTATATCTAACACTTGACTATGGACCAAGCAGAGCCCTGAGACAGCCATGGCTGTCCTGCTTCTTGCTCTCTAGGACTTAAGACTCACCGTGCTCATCAATGAAAACATGCATAGCATCCAGGGACATCTCCTCCTGCACAGACGTTTCTGGCCCACTGATGACCTGCAGCACTGAGCTGTCTTGTTGGGAAGTCACTCGGTAGATGATGTGCCTCTGCCGGCTGCCCTGGAAACTTAACACACATGAACGCTTTAAGGATGTGTACTGGGTAGTTTTATGTAACTCGACACAAGCTAGAGTCGTCAGAGTGGAGGAAACCTCAACTGAGGAGTCGCCTCCAGGAGATCTGGCTGTGGGAGAGCCTGTGTGGGGGGCATTTTCTCAGTTAGTGATTGATGGGGAAGAGCTGGTGGTCCTGGGTTCTCTAAGAAATCAGGCTGAGCTTGAGCAAGCAATGAGGAGCAAGCCAGTAAGCTGGACCCTGCTGTGGCTTCTGCATCAGCTCCAGCCTCTGAGATCCTGCCCTGACTCCCCTATGATGGTGAACTATTATATGGAATAGGGAATGAAATGAATCCTTTCCTCCCCAAGTTGATTTTTGGTTGGTCATGTTGTTTATCACAACAGTAGTGCCCCAAACTAAGACAGATGGTGAGGAGCTAGGGAGATGGCTTGGTGGTAAAGTGTTCACCATGGAAGTGTGAACATCTGAGTCCAGATCCTTAGGACCCATGTGACCCAAAGCCAAGCACTGAGGGACATACCAGGGCTGGGGAGGAGTCAGGGGGACCACTGGGATGCGGTCAGCCTGTGTAGTTAAACTAGTAAGTTCCAAGTTCAGTGTTCAACATCTGGTCTACATACGCACACACACACGCACACACATTCACACTCAAACACACTCACACACATACTCACACACTGACACACTCACACATATTCACACACACACACATACGCACACACACATGCACACTCACACCAGCAGGACTTCTCCTCTACCCTCTCCCAAAGCATGACAAGAAGCTTGTCTATAGGAAGAACTGCCTCACTATGCTCAGCCCTGAGTGACCAAGTTCTCCTTACAGTGCTGTGGTCTTGGCAGGCTGTGTGAACACCGGGCTGGCATTAGCAGGGTCTTGGCTTGGCAAGTCTGGTTTTCCTGGCTTGGGATCACGTTCGTTGGGTTTTTCATTCTCCACAGTTTCTTCCTTGGTCCCTGGGGAGGCGTGACCTGGAAGATACGACCTTCCATGTTAATAATGAGGACAATCTACCCAATCCTTCCAAGTGCTCAGGGGATAAACTAACAGCCCTGAAAAGAATGAAGACTCGGGCTTGGTGGCTAGGCCAATTATCCCAGCACTTGGCAGGCTGAGACAGGATGGCAGCTATGAGTTCCAGCCCAGCAGGGTCTACAGAGTGAGACTCTGCCTCCAAATAAAGCAAACAACAGAACTCCAAATGATCTGGGTGGGGCAGTATACACAGGAGGCAGAGGCAGGAGAAGCCCTGGGAGTTTGAGTCTAGCCTGGTCTACATAGTGAGATTCTGTGTCAAAGGACAAAGAGAAAAAAGGGGAGGGAAGGAAGAGAGGAAGGGAGGAAAGGCAGGTTTCAAGATAGATGTTTCTTTTACTAAGTATGAAAGTCTGTAAATATATTTGAAACACAGACACATATGTATGTTTGAGACAAGTTACTCAGGCATCTACTCTGCCAAGGGATTCAGAGGCTCTGTTGACCTGACTCAGAGACTCCATGATGTCCACTAGCATAGCTGTTGGAATTCCCACACACATACACTGAAAGCATCCTAACACACCAATGCTCAGACTGAAGAATGGAAGACTACTGTAGACCATGTTCCCGATCAACGGACCGCCTTAAAATCTCGCCAGCATTGTTCAGTTCACTCACTCTCTCCATGTCCATCTAGCTGGAGGCAGAATGCTCGCCCTGGGAAGGCAGACACTTCCTGATCACTGCCTTAGAGCAGTAGCACCACCTGCACTCACCCTTTGCTGGGACTACCTCAGGGTGAATGTTCAGGAATCAGCAGGTACAGATGGGAGGGAAGGGCTCATTTAAAACAATCATCTTTAGACAGTGGCTTAGACTAAGGGTCTTGGCTTATGCCACTATGCAAAATGAAGAGCTCTCCTGGCTTGTGTGTGGACACAAAGGTCAAAAGTGTCACTATCAGGGCTGGAGAGACGGCTCAGTGGTTAAGAGCACTGACTGCTCTTCCAGAGTTCCTGAGTTCAATTCCCAACAACCACATGGTAGCTCACAACCATCTGTAATGGGATCTGGTGCCCTCTTCTGGTGAGTCTGAAGACAGTGCCAGTGTACTCACATATATCAAACAAATCTTTTTTTTTTTTTTTAAGTATCACTATCTTCCGTGAAAACTGCCAGCCCTGTAGGGTCTCAGCCTAGATTTGAAGACAGGAACAAAAAGTCTGAACCTACAAGCCCTTTCAAGTCACACTGTTGAGGGGAAAGGGAGATAAGGTAGAAAAGGTAGGTACTGCTATGCACACATGGGGAGCTCAGTTTGTCCCCAGAGCCCACCAAGAAAAAAAAAAAAGACAAGCGTGGTGAAACACATCCATGATTCACGACATTGGTGTTGGGAGGTAGAGATAGGCAGGTCCCTGAAGTTTTCTGATCTGGCTGAATTGTGAACTCCAGGTTCAATGAGCGATTCTGTCTCAAAAAATAAGGTGGGAAGCAATAGAGAAAGACACCTCCTGCCTACTCTCTCTCTTTCTCTCTCTCTCTCTGTCTCTCTCTCTCTCTCTCTCTCACACACACACACACACACACACACATACACACATATGTATAAATGCATAGGCATACATGAATGCACACAGTCACACACATACACAGGCACACACAAATACACACACATTCACACACACAAGAATATGCACCCATGCGCATACACACATTCACACACATGCACGCACAAAGTCACACACATATACAGGCACACACACATGCATATGCATACATGCATATGCACACACGCATACATACAGGCATACACAGGCATGCACACACACATGTACAAACATACACACATGCATATAAACACATGCACATGGATACATGCATGCACACAGGCGCACACACAGATACACATGGGCACATACACATACATACACACACATGGGGACATGCACACATACACACACTCACACACGACATGCCATTGGACTGGACTACAATGACTGCACTGTCTGAGGACATCACTCTCACTGCCACCACAGTCACTCCTTAGAATTTTCCCTGTTGCTGGAGGAGACTGCCAACTTCTGAGGTGGCCCTGACGCTGAGCATTCCCAGAACGTCAGTGGCAAGTGTCTCTGGCACATGAAAGAGTTCAGATTTCATTTGACAGTCTGTCAGGCTGCTAATGCTCACAATTGTCAAGGAAAGTGTGACACCAAAACAAATAATCATGTCAGGCTCGTCTCAGGAGACACAGAGTGGTATGGAAGGCAGCTCCCACACCACACTGCCAGTTCTGGGGACATCTGCTCATCTCTAACATCTTAAGACATTCCTGAGGCCAGTATATGGACACCTTCCCAGCCCTCTCAGTCCTGACATTTGTTCTTATACCAAAGCACACTGGAGGTTTTATTTTCCTAGATGTGAAATATTTTTCATAAAATGAGCCAATACAAAAGATATCCTGTCTTAGTTAGGGTTACTATTTCTGTGAAGAGATGCCATGACAAGAGATTCTTATGAAAGAAAACATTTAGTTGGGGCTGGCTTATGATTCAAAAGTATAGTCCTCGTCATCATGGTGAGAAGCATGGTGCATGCGGGCAGACAGAATGCTGGAGAGGTAGCTGACAGTTTTACATTTGGATCAGCAGGCCCCAGGAACAGAACGCCACTAGGCCTATCTTTGGTTCTTAAACCCCAAAGCCCATCCCTGACAGGATTCTCCAACAAGGCCACACCCACTCCAACAAGACCACACCCACTCCAGCAAGGACACACCCACTCCAACAAGGCCTCATCTCCTAATAGTGCGACTTTCTATGGACCTATTGGGCCATTTTCATTCAAATCACCATAATCTATAACTATACATTTACTTTAAAGATGAAAGCTGTCAAATGCCACTAGATAATCTCCCAAAATAGTCACATCTGTAGCTACAATGTGGCATATTACAAGATCCTTGCAAACTTAAAGTGTTTCACCTTCCCAAATCATCCCCAAATAGTCACATCTGTAGATACAATGTGGCATATTAACAAGATTCTTGCAAGCTTAAAGTGTTTCACTTTCCCGTGGTGTGGTTATTTCTTTAGAACTGAACCACTTTCTCTGGGATAGAAGCTCACAGCTGGAGGACACTTAGAAGCGTCACAGGGCTCCTCTCTAAGGTTTCAAGAAAACTTAGGGTTTGGAGATATTTTTTCAATTGACAGTCTGTGGAGGAGACTCTGTGATCTGCCATGCTGCCTGAAAGTTGTGCAAGAAACCCAGAGATGAAGCTTTGGTGAGACGTCGCTCAAGGTGGGAGGGCTTTATGGTGCTGCAGCTGCCTTTCAATCACCCATACTTCCATCAGTAACAGCAATAAGCTCACTGCTCACTAAACTAGGCTGGGGTGAAAGGTTGCTTTGGTCAGTCCTTGATGTCCTGTCTGAAGCATACAGACAGCTAGCTGTTCATGTCTTCCTGAGGAAAATATCACACCTATGTCATAAATAACTGTTCAATTAGTATCTTTGTGTAGCACATTTAGGGTATGGTTTTATAGAATTTGCTAGAAGCTCAGAGACTGTGCACGCAAAAGAATGATGAGCAGTTAATATACAGAGATCTCTAGTCAATAGCCAAAGCAACAGGCAACTTTCAGCCTCAGCCCAGGATTAGACTTAGCATGGGAGAATTAGCCTGTTAGAAGTCGGGCCACCACTAGCCAACAGTTCAGGAAGCCATCCGAGTTCTGTGACATTTAGCTCCACATGGGCAAGACCTCTCTGTAGGCATAGATATCACAACCTTCTGTAATAAGGGTTCAACCTCCCCTCTAGTACACAACCCACAAGAAGTAGTGGAAAAGAAAGGTTGTTAGGATATGGGGGAAGTGGACTTATTTAGAAATAGTTCTTTGGGGAGATTCTAATCTTCGTTGTTCTCAATCCAGTCCACTAGCAAATGCCAAGTGGGAGTTAGCAGCTACAGTCCAGTCCACTCAGTAGACACCACACAGGAATCAGCAGGGGCAGTTCAATCCAGAAGAAACTTCGAGGCTCACCCCAGTCCTCCTTGGAAGCAGCAAGAAGCCACAGGAACCTCACAAGAAGTTGTTTGCTGAGTTTCTCTCTATGTTGTTACCACAAGTGAAACTCAACAACGCATTATAAGGCTAACCAATATATGTGTGTCGTCAGCGGAAGACTAGCAAGGCAGAGCAAGGCAAACCAATGCTCGAGCTCCCATTGTCTGTGGGGTCATGTTTATAGTCTTTCTAAGAATCATGTGTCCTTTCATGTGTCAGCTATACCAAAACATCCCTTCACCTGTGTCTGCTCAAGCAAAAACATTCTTCCATGTGTTTGTTTTAGCAAAACATCCTTCCACCTGTGTGCCCCAGCAAAATATCATTTGACATGACTGACTTTCCAAAGGCACCAGAAGTTTCCACTTTACCTCTCAGTAACAGAGCTTACTGTATCTCTGTCACTGTTTTCATAATTGCGAGCAAAGAAAGCCAAACTCTCAACCTCACCAACCACACAAGATAGCCTATGTCCATCTGCTTCAGCCATCAGCTTCTATCCAGGGCAGACCAGAAGCCCACCCCACCCATCCTCACCAAGGAACTGTGTATGACCTTCCTAGCTTTAAGTGCTGCCCAGACGAACTTATCCCCTTGCCCTGAGGAAACCTTTGCTTGTTCTGAGCTGGTGGCTGTGGGTATCTTTATTTACACACAAAAGGGACAAACATGAAACTGGACAAACTTTTTGTTGTTATTATTGTTGCTTTGGAATTAGTCAGAGTCTCAATATGCATCCCAGGCAGGCCTCAATCCTACTGCCCCAGACTCCCGAAACCCAGGACAATAAGCATGTCCCACCACACTCAGCTCTAGGCTTTGGGTGGTGTATGATTTGCCACAGCCTTGAGGTGAAGGAGGATGTGAAGGCTGAGGACCATTTGCTGCCCTTCCTCCCATAGCTCAGCTGATGGAGAGCATCCTAGGGTGAAGTAGAAGCTCCATCCTCATCCACTCAGATCCAAGGTCAAGCTGCATCCTCCTGTCAATCAGGACTGTGACTAGAAGAGATACCTGAGACTTCCGATGTCACCTCACAGTCGCGTTGCCCCATGTGTCCGTTCTGGAACTGAACATTCAGATTACAATAACTAGTTATTCTTCAGAAACAGAATAGCACACAGCTGGGGTAAATCTCAAGCGGCTCGAGGCCACTGAAGCCTCTCTGATGCTAACAGTCTCCAGGCACAAGGCTTGCTTTGCCCTTTCTCTTCTGAAGGAGATACAGTCTGGTCCCACTGCTGAGGCAGAACAGGAAGAGCGGGATCACAGAGACAGGAAGGAAAGGAAGCTGGAGGCTGTCTGAAGCCTTGCTCCTGCTCACAGACTGTGTGCCAGCATTGTTAACGTTTGCCATCAAAGTTGACGACAGACAATATTCCTTTTCTATAGAGATGCCTGAGTAAGAATGTTAAATAACAATGACTCCTTGATGAAGATCTATATATGGCCTTATCCCTGTCCAGATGTGTCCCTAAGTTTTCCAGAACTCTCACAAACAAGAGTATGAACTTTTGTTTACAGTGAAGACATCTGTTCTGATTTGCTTCTCTGTTGATGTCACAGAACACTCTAAACAAAAAGCAATTTGGAAAGGAAACGGTTTATCTTCGCATACAGATTACAGCCGACCACTGAGGGAGGCCAAGGCGGAGGCCACAGAAGAATACTGCTTACTGGCTTGCTTCCCCTGTCTTGCTGATGTCTTTCTTATACACCCCAGACTTACCTACTTAGGAATAGCACACACACAGTGGGGTGGGCCCTCCTTCATCAATCAGTAATTAAGAAAAGGCCCCACAGACACATCCACAGGCTAACCCCATGGAAGCAATTCTGCAAATGAGGCTCTCTCTTCCTAGGTGTGTCAAGCTGACATTAGTCATCAAAACAGCTTACCTTCCCCTGTGGCCTAGGGTTTACCTCATCAACTGTGGTTCCATGCTGTGAACTCTGGGGACCGCCTCAGCATCTCACCTATGTTCCTCAGCAACCCCTTGCAAGGTGACCGGAGAAACCACCAAAGCGACTACATACAATTCTTCAGAGACTTTTGAGGGTGACTCTCCTGAGATGCCCACACACTCTCTTGGGTGTGCATTTCTTTTCCTAAATGCTTCTCCATTACCCACCACATTCACATTGATTTTAAACTTTTTCTCTGACAAGTTCCAACCCTGTTTTATGCTAGCTCATCCTGAAGTCTCCATCTAGGGTATGGTCAAGGATCCCAACTTCACTTGAGTAATGGTCTCTGAAAAGGTCACCTCAGGCTGTGCAGGTGACAGCACGGAGCTGAGTCTCTGGCCCATGCCCTTTGGCCACAGTCACTTCCTCCTTTGGGATCACACAATCTCAACAGTCGGGCCTGCTCCACTCACACAACACCCTTGCTGTGGGTTGAATGGAAAATGTCTCCTGTAAGCTCAGATGTCTGAACGTTTGGTCTCCAGTTAGTGGTACTGTTTGGGAAGTATGATTTGGATGAAAATAGCCCCCATAAGCTTATCTATTTGAATGCTTGGTTGCCAGTTGGTGGAGCTGTTTGGGAAGGATTAGAAGGTGTGGCTATGTAGGAAGTAGTTTATCTATCACTTGGGGTTTGAGGCTTTAAAAGCCCATGCCATTCTTAGTCTGTCTCTCTGTCTCTCTCTTCTCCCCCACTCCCACCTCAGACTTGGGGGTAGAAATGTGAGTTCTCAGCTATATACACCTGTATGCACATGTGCACACAGAGCGAGGGGTGAATATCAGCTATCGTCCTGGGTTAGCCTCACCTTTGTTTTGAGACAGAGTCTTTCACTGAATCTAGAGTGAACTTGCCAGTTCAGCTAGGCTGGATGCCTGGTGGGTCCCGTCTCCATCTCCCCAACACTGCAATTACAGGTACTCACTGCCATGTCTGGGTTTCTTTTCTCCATGGGTTCTAGGGCATCAGACTCAGACCCTCATACTCACATGCAGGCATTTTACCAACTGACTCATCACCAACAACCCTTGTAGTTTCCTTAAGAGAAATGTGCTTTGTGCTGAATGTCCCTGGAAGGCATCTCACCTGCCTTCCAGATAGCTGTTTTAGAGTTGTTGGGACTGTAGGAATTGGAACTGCAGGAAAACAGTTGCTTCTTTCCCTGGAAATAAACATTTTTGGCTCCTAGAGAAGCTAGAAGCTCATTGTAAAGCTTTCAGTTTCCTGTAGAGTGAGCAGAGGCAGGTGAGGTCTCCCCAATAAAACAACAACAACAACAACAAAACCACAATCTGGAAATGCTCCAAGATCCAGAAATGTCTGTGTAGCAACATCTATTGAAAGAGAAAAATGACCCCTCATGTGACAAGGCACAGTTAGAACACAGGAGCATACAGCCATCCATGGCTGCATGTGGGGTAGAGCCAGAACATAAACAATCATGAACATACACGTAAATATCACAGGCTTAGATCTTACCCTAAAAATATTTCCTCGTGTGTAACTGAATAGACTAAATCTTAAAAACAACACAAATCTGAAACAAGTCATTTCCCAAGTGTGATGGTTTGAATATGCTTGGCCCAGGGAGTGGCACTATTAGAGATGTGGCCTTGTTAGAGTGGGTGTGGCCTTGTTGGAGTGGGTGTGGCCTTGTTGGAAAAAGTTGGTGTGGTCTTTGAGACCCTCCTCCTACCTGCCCAGAAGACAATGTTCTCCTGTTTGCCTTCAGAACAAGATGTAGAACTGCCAGCTCCTCCAGCTCCATGCCTACCATGTTCTCACCATCGTGATAATGGACAGAACCTCAGAACCAGTAAGTCAAGCCCAATTAAATGTTGTCCTTTATAAGAGTTGCCTTGGTCATGGTGTCTCTTCACAGTAGTAAACCCTCACTTAGACACCAGGCATGGATGAGAGATGCTCACCACAGCTCAGAGTCAGCCCATGTGATAAGTATGGTAGCAGAATTAAGCTGCATGGTGGGGGAGACACTTTCCTCACAAGCATGCAGAACTGAGTTCACAGTTTCAGAACCTATGAAAAAAAGCTGCGTGCAGTCGCAGTTGCCTACAATCCCAAAGCTACAAGATGGGAAGAGGAGAATCACAGAACCCTGGAGACTCACAGGCCAGCCAGCCTGGTCTCTGGAGTGAGGACCAGGACAATGAGAGACCCTGTCTAAAACAGAAGATGTAAGGTATCTGAGGTTTGTCCTCTGACCTCTGTACACATGCTGGTACACATACACTTATATGTGCACCCACATACATGAATGTGTATATAACTGTGCATGTAAGTATGCATGCATACAAACACACACACATATACACATATACACACATTCACGCATACATATACACACACACATATAAACATTCATACATATACACATATTCACATATACATATACACACATACACACCTACATATACACACATACACTCATGCTCATATATACACACATATACACACATTCACACATACATATACACACATACACACCCACCTACACACATATATATACACACACATATATATATACACATACACACATATATGCACATATACACACATATACACATACACACATACATATACACACATACACACATATACACACATACATACATATATACACATATATGCACACATATATACACATACACACATATATACACATACACACACATATATACACACATACACACATACATACACACACATACACACATATACACACATGTATACATACATACATATTCACATATCCACACATACATATACACACATACACACATATACACCCACATATACACACACACACACACAAGCAACAAAAGGTTCCCTGAGAGCTGACACCAAGGTCAGATAACACAGGCAAAGGACTGACACCCCTGCTGTGACGTCATCAGAGAGAAACAGTTGGAGCCTCACCTTCAGGACCCTGATTTGCTCCTTTCTGCTCTGCTGCGGAGTCGGACGCCATCACCTTAGATGTACTGATGGATTCCAACAGGGAGACAAACTCCAGGAAGTTGGACTCATTTGGAATCTCTCCTTCCTTGGCCTCCAGGTCTGATTTGGAGGTTGGGATGGGTTTCTCGCCGTCACTCACCACCTCTTTGGCGCTCCGACTCAGGAAGACATCGGTCCCACTGTCCACACTGAGCACACGGGTATGCCTTTTCTCATGGCTGCTCTTACAAGAGGCTGGGTCAAGGTTTCCCTGGCCCTCTCTGTTCCCCTCAGGCTCAGGATCCACACTGGATGTGATTGTCGCAAGTGTGGGACCTGGGGTGGGACTTCCGTCCTTGGTGCTATACTCCCCAAGCCCAGAGCCCGGACAACGATCAGGTGACATCACATCCATTCTCTTTAGGGTACTTTCTCCTCCATTCCCTTCAGAACAAGAGACGCCTCTTCCTCCTCCATCCTCTGTTAACTCGAGGGTGATCAAAGGGATTCTGACCTGCTCAGGGTCTGCAGGACTGTCTCCTGGGCCAGCAGGTTCTGCATTGGGTCTGACACTGGTTCTGTCGGAGCTGGTTACCCTCAGGTGCAGGGAGTTCTCTGGGTCACTGACAGAGTTTGGGGTGCTGCTCATGGTGATTACTATCTTAATGGGTTCATGCAGACTCAGCGGCTCTCCAGGCTGAGAGGTGTCAATAAGAGTCACTGCTACCTCGCTGTCTGAGTCAACCACTTCCTGGTTCAAGGGCAGTTCCACCTGACCGGATGTCTGGGTCAGCTCCTCCTCTGTGGGTTTGGCTAGGACTGTGTTACACTGACAGCAGCTGCTGCTCAGGCTGTCCTGAGGTGATCTGCTCTGTGGCAGTGCCCTGGTGGGGCCCTGGGTACACTTAGGCTGTGGAATCAGAACTGAGTGCTCGCTGCCCCACGGCTGGAAGGAGATGTCAGTTTCTAATAAGTCATACTGAGACAATGACAGATGTGGCAACTTCTTCAAGGCTCCAGTGTTCACCAGGCCACTCTCAGACCTGTGGCGGGCTGGACGCTGGCCAGCGCTCCCTGGCTCTTTCCCTTTTCTTGCTGTGAAGATTTCTGTGGTAACTGGCTTCCCTGGGCATGCCGGTCTGGGAGTGGGTTCTGGTGTACGCCCCTGAGAGGCAGGTAGACTTTCTGACTTCATGCCAGGTGAGGTAGATGACACCAGGGCCTCAGGTTGATCCTCTGACAGAACGACACCTGAGATGGATGACAAGGTGACATGAGACTCATCTGTGGTGATGTTTAATACCTCAGGGTAAGACATTTAAAACCAAAACCAGCAACGAAGGCACCAAGATGTATGTTTCTCTCTCTCTCTCTCTCTCTCTCTCTCTCTCTCTCTCTCTTTCTCTGTGAGTGTATATGTGTGTGTATGCATAAGTATATGCGCACATGCATGAGCATGTGTGTATATGTGTGTGTACAAGAATGAGTGTGTGTGTGTGTGTATGTATGTGTATGTGTATACATCCATGAGTGTATGTGTGTGCATGTGTGTATGTGTGTATATATGTGTGTGCACCCATGAGTGTGTATATGTGTATATGTGTGTATGTGTGTGTGCACCCATGAGTGTGTATGTGTGTGCATACATGAATGTGTCTGTGTGTGTATATGTGTGTGCACCCATGAGTGTGTGTATGTGTGTGCGTGCATGAATGTGTTTGTGTGTCTGTGTGTCTGTGTGTGTGTGCACCCATGAGTGTGTATATGTGTGCATGCATGAGTATGTGTGTGCACATGTGAGTGTGTGTATGTGTGTGTGCATGTGTGCATAAGTGCATACACTGGCATGCATGATTGCATGCACATTCATGTGAACACCTATGCACTTGTTCCTGTATGTGGAGGACCAAGGTCAACCTCAGCTGCCATTCCGATGCCATCCACCTTGTTCTTTGAGACAGTGTCTCTCACACTGGCCTGAAACTCACCCACTGGGCTAGGCGCTGGCCAGTGAGCCTCAGGGATTTCCTGTCTGTCTCCTCAGTGCTGGGATTGTAAGTATGTACACAACACCCAGCTTTCTGTTCGGGTTCTGGGGATTTCACTTTTGTCCTCATGTTTATGTGGCAAGGACTTTGACTTCTGAACTGTCCTAGCCCCTGGGTGCTTGTTTGATAGAAATGTCCTTCTACTGTGGCTCCTGGGACATCTATATTTACAACTGTGACTCACACTTTTTTCCTTTGCTGTGCGGAGGCCTCAAGAGGCAGAGCAGTGTGGTTTAAATCACAGGTTCAGGCCTTGTGGTTGGGAAGGGCGGGGCTCTGCTCTCCACCACCCTCTCCTCTTGGGCAAGTTACTTGGTCCCTCTAAAGCAAGGGAAACAACTGTGATCCAGTGGGCAAGTTAAACAAGCTCCTTCCTTGCTCTGAGGGACCACTGTGGGCACCACAGAATGCTTAAGTATCATCCTGGCTTCTGCCTGCTCCATGTGGCTGCACTCTGTCCTCATTGTGACAATCAAAAAGCCTTTGGCATGGTCACATGTCCCTCGGGAGCAGAACCCTCCAAGAAACACTCACAGCTTTGAACCTAACACCTTCACCTCAGAGCTGAAGGGGTAGCTCAGAGTTAAGAGTGCTCCCAGCTCTTGTAGAGGAGCCCATTTCAGTTCCAGCACCCAGCTCAGGGTGGTCTGGCACCCTCTTCTGGCCTCTGTGGACACCTGCACTTGTGGAAGTTTGTGCACATACAGAAATACACACATATACACATGACTAAAAATAAATCTTTTTAAAGGGTTTCATGTCTCCTAGGGTGCAGCTGTGAATACATATCAAACAACAGAAACACTCTACCTTTGAGGTCTTCTACTGTCTCCTGTGCCGGCAACTCCTGAAGAATCAGAAAGCAAACATCAAGATAGGATTCGGCTCACTGTACATTCTACACAGTCCCCACAGCCGGCCATCACCCTCCAGCGGCAGCTGAGTCTGGCCAACTGGTTCATAGGGAAGGGACACCTCAGGCTCTGTGCTTCTTAAGTGTTTATAAAACGGGCGAAAGCTATGGATTCTGAAACATGTTTAAGGGCAGACATCCTCCCAAGATGGTTGCATAGTGACAGAAAAGAGGAGGATGCTAACGAAGAAACAAAAACCCAAAGGAATAAGGCATTATCTATCGTGGATGGAGACCTGTAAAGCTACCCTATCTGAGAGGTGATGTATTGGGATTCCAAGAAGCAAGATTTAATGCAGAGAGCGGTGGAGAGAAAGACAGCAGTTCTTACAAGTGGGCAGTGTAAATGTAATTGTTGCTTTTACTTCCTCAGATGCAGTGAGGAGAGCCATACCCAAGCTTTATGAATACATGGCTTGGGTTGAGCCCAGAGTGTTTCTGTCTAACTATCCCTAGGCTGGAAGCTTCTAGCCTCCATACAATCTAATCTTCTGCAAGTCTTCAAGCCTAAGTCTTGAAGGCTTCAGCTGCCAGCCTCTGTCTGCAAACCCAGGCCTAGAATGTTTCAGCCTCTGAGACTTACTGCTGAACAGACTCACTCCTTTTGGCTCTTCCTGAGCCCTAGTTCACTGGCTCCACTCAACTGTACTGGCTCAAACTCCTCTCAAACTTCTCTTGAAGCTGACTGATTCAAACTTGTTTCTCTCTGCTTCTAACTCAGTTGTTCTGCCTGGAGAAACAGCCTTTGAACTCCACAAACTGAGAACTGAACAGAACTGCTCTGAGCTGAACTGATTCAACCTTCTCTCCCTCACCGGTGGCTTTCAAACCACCTCCCTTTCCTGTCCATTCTACTGAGAGATGGGCATGTCCTATCTCTGACTCATTCTGTCAAATCTTTCTCTGGTTTGTCACTTTGTCTGCCCCTTAGTTAGATGTCATTGTTTGGGATTAAAGGTGTACTGATGGTGTGTCTGTATTCCAGCCAGAGGGATCAAAGGTGTGTATTCCAGTCAGATCCTATCTTTGGATGTGATCTCTTGCCCGAGCAGACATGTTGCTGGATTAAAATTCCTCTGCAGGGAAGCACTGACAAGCTGATGACTTTATGGCTGACTGGAGAAGAGAAAAGGAGGGTAGAGGTTTGCACCATGGTTCTCTGACAGGGAATATAGCATGAGAGGCTGCTGGTTTTCTGGAAAGACACAGTAGGTGAAGTCTGATGTCCCAAGTGTACCCAGGGACCATTTCCACAGCCCACAGCATAAGAAACACAAAGAGCCAATACAACCAGCCCTGCCCCCCAAGGATGCTCCACGCTAGGGAGTGAACGCCAAAACAACAGGAAGGGATCACCAACCAATGGCCCCGAGGAATGCTGGGAGTGGACACTCTGCCCTCGGGAGCTGCAGCAGAGGGGTGGTGTGGTCAGGCTCCCTCGAGGCTCTTCCTTCTTGGTGCTGTGAATCTGCCTGTTATTGCTGACCCAGGGTGAGAAAGAGCAGATGTTACCAGAGAACCAGCCTCTTCCAATAGTTGTCTCTCCAACTATTCCTCTTGGGTCTATTCTTTATATACAAATCTTATTTTTAACAGCACATAAACTTTCCTCTAAAATTAGAAGACTCATTCTTATCCATCCTTCCTCCCTTTCTCCTTCCCCACTTTGTGCGTGTGCGAGCTCTCGTGCCCGCACACATGCATGTATGCACACAAGCGTGAGCATGTGTGAATATATGTTTATGTCTCGGTGTTTGTGTACATGTGGGAATGTACCTGTGGAACCCAGAGAGAGCTCAACCTCAGGTATAGAGCAGCTGCCAACTACTTTGTTTGTTGAAACAATGTTTCTCATTGGTCTGGAACTTGCTGATTTGTCTAGGCCAGAGGCCAACAAGCTGTGGGGATCTGTCTGCCTCCAGAATCCCCAACAATGCGATTACAAGCTTCTATCATCTAACACTGTGCCTGGCTTTTTACATGAATTCTGGGGATCAATCCCAGCTCCTCATGCATCCTCCCCTGCCTGGGAGACACACCTTCAAAGACAAACTATAAAAAGTGAAACAAGCTTTATATCCACAAGTTTCCCTCAAGCTCCGATTCTGGACCTCACTCTGTGTGACCTCTGGCTCAACACACACTATTCCTGAAGAGTCTTTGGTGTACTCTGTGAATCTAAAAACAAGATAAAATACTTAAATAGACTATTTTACATTGTTTAGCCTAAGCCAGATGAGTTTCAGATCCTAGTGTAAAGCTAGATTGAAGACCAGATAAAACATCCAGATTGTTTAAAAAAAAATCAATTCTATTAATTTTAGTTTTAAATATAAGCAAAGTATACAGACCCATGTCTGCCTGGAATCTTTACCCTTATATATAACTCATAAGTAGAAGGCAACTTTATTTATTTATTTATTTATTTATTTATTTATTTATTTATTTATTTATATTTTGAGCCTAAGTTTTGAGTAGCACACATTGGCCTGGAACTCACTACACACCTATAGATGACCTTGAACTCTTGATGCTCCCACCTCCACCACGCACAAATCACAATACCAGATTTCTACCATGCCCAGCACTGAACCCAGGTCTTTTTGTTTGCTAGGCAAGTGTTCTGCAGGCTGAGATACAACCCCACCACAGCAGCAACATTGTAACTAAAAGCAGATCGTTTCCTTTGGGAGCACGTGCTCTTCTAGACAAGGATACCTTGGGTGTTTGTGCCTGGCCATGTGCTGGCTGCTGGGCTCTCCCTCTGGCCTCCGCTTGCTTCTCTTTCTTGGGGATCGGTGCTGGATTACTTCTCCCTTGTCGAACATGAGGTGCAGTCGGTAGCTGACAAGCTTGATGACTGCAAAGAAGATGGTCACAGAGCCGCAGTAGAACAGCGCAGTGAGGACATTTGGAGGGAAAGCCTGTGGGAGAGAAGAGGGAAGGGACACTCTGGCCGGCAGGCTTCCAT